CAGGGTCTCCGCAAATTCGAGCTCAGGCACCTCAGGCACGTCCTTCAGGGCCTCAGTCGATTCAAGGTCCAAGACCTCCGCAGTCCCCAACGACTGCTCAGCCTCCACCGGTACAAAGAGCTCCTGTGCCGAGCAATCTTCAGTTCGGTCCAAGGCAGCCACCGCAGTTTGGGGGCGCCACTACGCCTGACGGTTCCAAAGCTCAGGTGCAACCCCAATTTAACGGAACATCAAGGAACGGCGTTCCTGCACCGTCTCAAATAACGGGACAACTACCTAGACAACCGTCACAAGGCTCTTTAAAAGGCCTTGATATATCCAATACAAACAAAAGTAAAACAGCAAACCTGGAACCCCAAAATACTAACAATGACAACCAAAATGCTAATAAGTCCGAGATTAACTCGGAACCACCAACAATGTCTAAAGGCAGAAGTTACAGCATCGCCGCCGCTCCCGGCGCGCCAAGTCCGCTTAAGATGGATGAAGACCGACGAAAATCCATTAGTGCTGTAGGGAGTAAGATGGAAGAGTTCACAAGTCGTAGCCCAGGTCTTGGATTAATTCAAGAATCTAAGGACAGTAGAGATAACATACGTGGTTCTAAAGATAGTGTAAGGTCGGTGGCTTCGAATGATGGTAGCAAGGACAACATCGATCGTCCAGAATCACGCATAACCGGGTCAAGAATGACCGAATCAATCATGGGATCTTTGACCAATCTTGCACCCAAAAAGAAAATAGACGATGACGATGACGTGGTATTGCAAAACAACGTGCAAACATTGAAAAGCGACGTTGGTCTAAATCAGAACAAAACGGATCTCTCGGACCGTTCACCATCGTTGACTAGAAGTGATGATTCGCCGGAACCTAAGAACGTTTCGCAAAGTTCAGTTATAACGAACAAGTCGCAGAGCGCTACACCAGAACCTCAAAGACCTAAGACTCCCAAAGATTTGAAACCTGAAACCAAAGTCGATGCACCAAGAGACGTAAAACCTTCCGTAACACCAGTTAAAACTCCGTCAAAGTCACCCGTTCAAGAAATCAAAACTATGCCATTAAACAAAAAACCAACTGAATTAATTACTCCAACAGATTCCAAAAGATCTACTCCTAGGAAAGTAGTTTCAGCGCCTAAATCACGACCTAAAGGTAATCAGAAAACAAAAATTAAGAGAAAGTTATTTCGTTGAGATGAATTAAACCATTTTCTAATTAATGATGTGCCTAATAACTAGTTTAAAATGTGTTAATTTCTTTTTCGTTTCCCCAGATGGAGATAATGACAGTGGCGTGGACGAGTCAACTCAGGGGAATGTAAGTATTAAACAAAAAAGGATATTAATTAATTATTCACAACTAGATTTTTTATAATAATTATATTGTCATAGGATATGAACGGATCGCCTGGTTCACCAAATAAGAAATTGCCGAGCAAGGTCCCTACTAAGGAAAAATCAAGTAACAGTTTGAAGACCAGTCTTTCACGATCTTCTAGCAAGAGCGCAACAGCTAAAACACCAGAGAACCCTCCTCCATCGGAGAAGAAAAGTAAGAATTGTTTACTTGAGTTACAGAACATCTATTACAACATTTTAATCATAAACAGTTACATGTAATAAAGCTTGCGATGTACGCATCATGAAATGATAATTAGAATTTAGTAACACTCATCCTTACCATCATTAACGCCTTAACTTGTAAGCGGTAGGCATTCTTTATTTTTTAATTTTCAGAAGTACCAATGAACAAGGTTCAAGTGGGTAACGCGCCGTCTCCTAATATCAAGGCTGTTAAATCCAAGATCGGGTCATTGGATAACTCTACATACAAGCCGGGCGGTGGAAAGATTAAAATAGAGAACAGAAAACTGGAATTCAATGCTACGCCGAAAATCGCTGCGAAAAATGAGGCGTACACCCCTAGTGGTGGTACTAAAAAGGTAAGAATATAGCGTAGAAATATATAGCGTATAGTCAAATTAGTTTCATATTAAATTATTGGTTTCGACTATAAACAAATGTCGGCCGAAACCCGATCAATATCTAATTCAAATTGTCGTATAACGTAGGGTATTCTAACTTTTATAAAATGATATTACCTACATAGTTACAAAGCATTTTGTTCTTGTCAAAGTATAATTTTCATATTCGATACCTGTTAAACAGACTTATTATAAAAAACACACACAGAATTCCAAACGAGTATTTTGTGATTACAATTCTGTGATTGTAAAATGGCAGACTGTCGAAATATTTGCTACAAAAAATACAAACATAAAGACCTAAATATTTCGTAGCAGACATGTTACGGCAAATATTTTTATTTCGGATATTTTCTCTTTTTTTTGCGGTTTCTATGAAAAAATATTGCTGGTACTATGCTTATTTAATATTCTATTTTCTAGATAATTACCACAAAATTGGAATGGAACGCGAAATCCAAAATCGGTTCCTTACAGAACACTGCTTACAAACCAGGAGGTGGCGATAAGAAGATCGAAACTGTTAAGTTGGATTTTAAAGATAAAGCGAAGCCAAAAGTTGGATCCACAGCTAACATAACTCATAAGCCTGGCGGCGGAACAGTAAAGGTAAGCGAAGAAATAAACATTGAGTCATTATTTTATGCTGTGAGTATTAGTTCTAAATGTTAATGTTAGAATAAGTGGTAAAGTGCAGGATAGTTGCATTTATTTTCATTACCATACACTGGCGGCAAAATTAGTATTCAATTTGAAACCAGATACAATTTAGATTTCATAGTAAATATTGGCACAAGTAAATTTATTATATAGCATCGTATAGTTAAGATAAAATTCAAAAACCTAAATTTTGTTCCATAGTCAACAGATGCAAAGAACGGAGAAAAAGCAGTGAGTAATTACTAATTAATGTCCGCTTCTTGTGACTTTATGCTGACAGCGTTATTCTCCGATTTACGCACATTGTTAAGAAGAATCTAATTCTGTGTAATAGATAGCGATGTGTTTTAGTTTGTAAAGTGGGGGTTACCAAGGTGGAGGGCGTCACATAAGTCCTTTGCTTTGCATATTCTACGCGGTAAGGTCTGTACTTACGGAGTTATTGGATGCCAGAAGATTTTGACGTCATTAGGACAGATGTCGCAATTTTACACGCTGTCTCTGTTATATCGCTTTAAGAATGAAAAACGGCGATTGTCTTTTAGGGAATGTCGGAATGATTAGGTTATCTTTTTGGAAATGTCAAACTTGATTGCCTTTGCATAGTACTGTTAATGTTTTTGTATTATAACAACACTTTTTAAACATGAAACCATGCTACCACGAACCAGATAATGAACGATTCAATCAATGGATTCGCACATGCACTTCACTGGATTAAAATATTCCGTGCCGCATAAACATTACCTGTATAAGCTTGTTATACAAATGTAAACTTATTACAAACAGCACTTAGGAATATTATTGTATTGCGTCTACAAACTGCTTCAAGTTCGAATCAACGCTAGACAATGCTTAAATACATTTAAATAATGTATTTTATTGAATTGGATTATAAAGACTTTAACAATTGCTTTAACACAAAACTGTCCTAAGAATTTACTTAGTGTTTTTTGAAATCATTATAAAATCTAAAAGTCTTAATAATCTAATTACAGTATACTTACTATATAAATATTTATTATGTACTTTGCACTATGCTATATATGTATGTATGTATTTGTATTGTTTGCACATAATACTGCACAGTCACTTTTCCGGACAGATTGAGAATCAAAAGTTGGATTACAAAGTGGAAAGCAAAGTTGGCTCTCTCGACAACGTAAAGCATAAGCCAGGCGGAGGTGATGTTAAGATATTTGACGACAAAGACTACATCAAGCAGGTGGTCGGCCAGTCGCCGCTGCCCCCAAGCCACGGCCAGTCGCGGCAGGAGGTGAGGCCAGCTATAAGTGGCCACTTTCTCTACTCTTTTTGTTTTCGCTTCGTCTCTTTGTTTTGGTGAAGGTTTAATTTCGAATCCATTTCGCATTATAACTACACATTTTTTGTTTCAGCCAGAGTATTTGTATACGTTTTATTAGTTTTTAAAACGACGAATATTTCAGGTGACTTCGATTGCATTTGATATTGACTAACAAATCATCAGGCGTTTCATTTCTGAATTGGTTTTGTTTGGTTTTCTTTTGCTGGTTTTTTAACTTTGTGTTTGTTTTGGTTGTAAATATTTGTTGTACATTTAAAATTAGTTTACTATCCACATTGATGTAATTTTTATTCTTTCGTAGAGTCCGGTTCCACCGTCTGCACCTCCGAAATCTGATGAGAATTTGAACCAACAGCCGTGTTAAGACACCTCATGAAAAGTCGACACTAATTCTATTTACTAAAATAATGTGTCCATTACTTTTATCATAATATTACTCTTGTCTCATTGTCTTTGATTATTTTATTCAGAATTCAATGGACATGATGCATATTTAAGAATTTAAGTCAGTAAAGTAGTTTCCTTTGATAAATATTTAGTAAATCTAAATGGATCTTAGCAAAACTATTAGCAGATTAACTTGCTGCTTATCTTTTATGTTTTACATAGTATCAGTTGTGCCAATGCGTTTAGAACATAAAACATAAAATATTAATATGTATTTTTAAATTTAAAAACGACCGTTTATTCCCGAGTAGAAATAGTTGAAATGTAATTTACAAATATTTAAAATATTGCTGCATAAACATTATAGTGAAAATTCTGGTGTGTTTCAGATGAAGCGTTTTAAAAAATGTAGTTGGCACAAATATCTAAATATCTTATAATGGTTTTGCAGCAATTCCACGTATATATTATGCACATAGTGATCACATTGTCTCACTTCCAGTCCTCACTGCGTATTAAAGCAACAAATATTTACTATGCGTATATTAAATGCGATAGTTGAAGCTTCGTTACAAATGTATGTTGTTTACTTTTATAATTGTATTATGTAGAATGCACGAACAATGTTTAGGATTAAAATGGTGTGAGGTATGTATAGGCCAGTGTTCTCGACTCAGCACGTAATAAATGTCGAACAACATAAAGCCCTGTTTAAACTAATGTTTAATATGTTTTATAATCAAAATAATAGCTTATTCACGTTTAATTTCGCTGTGTCGGGAGCGACGTCGGCTCAGATTGGACTGACCAGATTATTAGAATGATAAATGTTTTATATTTAAATAATTTTAAGACGGAATTAGATTTAGGAATTAAATAATGCTTGTCGTTTACAAAATTATTTGCAATTGTGAATGTTATTGTGATGTAGCGATGTATTTCGTTGCAATTTAAGGATAATCAAATGATTATTGAATAATATTAAAGGAATTTGTTATATTTACAATTTTCTTTGTTACTATCAACAGCATTATTAATTTTTGTACTACAATCAAAACGTTTTTTTATATGATATTACAGGACGCTTTGCTATCGTAAGTTTTTAATGGAGTTCAGCATAATGTGAACCTGCTGTAATGGTATACTTTAATATTTAATATAATGTAACGTAATAATTATTGTTTCATTTACACTAAAATGTTTCACAAGACCTTCAATAAATGTACTCGAGTAGTTATGCTGTAGTCACACATTGCACGCACCCGCGTAGTCGATGGAAAATCTTTGCAGATTGGTAAGTCTTTCATTACAAACTTATTAGTTTATCTCATTATTTTTATTTTTTTGGCATTCGAAAAGTTGTAGTAATTGTTTGACATAGCAGTGCAGAGCTCCTATTAGATAGCTGTTCCTAACATGAACAGCATTTGAGACCTCTAATTGTGCGAATAAAAATTTTTTCAGTGCACGGCCGACGGGTGGTGCATTTACATTATTTAGATAGGGTGTATGTTATTTGTATTTTGTGGGATAATACTCAATAACATTGTGTACAGGAGGACTGCTACATGGCGAACGAATGGTCAGAGGAGAGGCCATTATCCCGTAGCCGGTCTGCTCGTGCTCCGCGCACTCCCCGCACGCCGCGTGCGCTCTCCCCGCGCAAGCCTGCGCCCGGCGAACGCGCGCTTCGCTACGGCTACGAACGCGAGAGACGAGCCTCAATCCGCCCAGCGACTGCACGCGAGCCCCCGCGCTCTTGCTCCAGACGAACCTCGCTCACACCGCGCCCTGCCTTCTCTGTGTATTAATTTAAATCTTGTTTACGTTGTCTTAATACAATACGATACAAACTTTACGGCCGCTCGTGTTTAGATGCTAATTTATAATAGTATTTGAATATGGCAACCAAGTGAGTTTTTTATCTGCCAAAGAAGAATCAAATCTCGTGCAACCGTATGATTTGCCCGCGATCCCTTATATTGTTGTGCACAATCTTCTCGTACAGAATTGTGAGCCGCCACAAAGTTTGGATAGCACTATACTCATTACAGTGAAAATAATATTCAGAGCATTGATTACATTTGTTGTCCTCTTTTGTTTAATTCATATTTTGTTTACAATTAATGCATATCAAAGCAATTTATAAAACATGTAGATTGTGGTAATACTACTTCATATAGTTGATTTAAAAATGAGAAAATTAAAATAAGGTTCACATAAACGCACACTTAATACGCATTTTATATCTCTGTTTAATGACTAAATAAAATGCACTTATTTTAGCGTTTTTGAATTTTTAAAGTTTACTCACTAGTAGAAAAATTAGTGCGATTTGTAAGACGATACACAAAATAATTAGAAGTAGAAATATAGAAAAAAAACTTATTCAGATTTTTTATTGTATTGAATATCCTTCTGTGACAGTTTATAGTTGTATCTAGATTTATTTTTTAACTTTCATATCAAAATAAATACTAAAAATCAAATGTTATGTTCAAAAATTTTTTAAAATAAGTGTTTTTTTAGTAAAAGAAATGTAATAGTTATGTAGATTTTATTCAATAAACGATAGCACTAACTTCGGTTTTTACTATTTGTATTATCCAATTTACCTGATTTCATCACAAAAAAGTCTGTGACAACCCTAAGTATTTTACCTTAAAACCTGATCAGTCTTCTCTTTCTTTATCTTTGAATTAAACAGAGACAACGATATGTTCTTTAAATATGTGATTTTTAACGAACGGATCACAAGGTCTGAGGAGGTAAAGGACCTCAACAGCTATCGTTTAAGCGTAAAATATGTTGCCAGATTTTCTATACTTGTAAAGTATTTAATTTTTTGTAAAAAACGTTAAATCAGATTTACGACTATAATTTGCCCGTACGTCAATATATATAAGCCAAATTATTGGTCTTTAAACAACATAAATACCTTTAAAACATGGGACATCGGGCAACATACTTTGCGTTTAAACCTTAGTTATTAAGGTCCTATACATATATAAAGCTTGTGATCCTTTTGTTAAGAATCATCTGTTTGTGTTTGGCTAAGGGCATTCAAGGGCATTGAGTGCAAACATTAAAACAACATTTTAAATGTATATCGTTTAATTGGTGTACATGGTTATGCATTACAATAATATTTATCAATTGTTAATTCATTAAATTATGGCACTTAACACAAATTTAAACAATACATAATGATGAAATGACAATGTCTTCGTAACATAATATTTATATTTTCGAAATAAACTTAATGATATATTCGGAATTACTTTTTCAGTCGTTCGTTGTGACGTTCGCAGGAAAACGAAAGCCTCATTTTTTAATTTTTTACCCATTTTTTTTTAATAAAATAAAATTTGCAACTCAAAATCCAACATTTTGTTCCCGATCATAAAATTATAAATAAGTTTCTTTACATAGCATACAATAACTTAAATCTTTTGTACCAATAAAGGACAACTAACTCACCATCCACGAATACGGTAAATTCTTAAAACGAGCGCGCAGGAATAAGTCACTTTTATAAAAAAAATTAATACAAATCTTTAAAAACTTACTACTAACAAACATCCCTAAGTAGTACATGCGCTAAGCGCCTCTCCACACGAACGTTAACGCCTACGTCATTATGTCGCATATGAAAATTGAAGCATATGAAGATAGAGTTTATCTCTGCTGGGACTAATAAAGACGAGTATACACTTCAAGGAACGATAAAAAATGCACTGGTAATACTGATTTCCACACCCTGCTCTGCACTTACACTAAACAAGGGAACAAAATAAAGTAAAAAAATAGTTTCAGCGGAAAGGAAACGTTTATCTTATTCGATAAAATTATATTTTGTGTATCTATTTTTTCAAACGAGAAAATATTAAAGACAATTTTAAAATGCAGAAGTATATGTTTGCGTTCAAAGCCCAGAATATTGCGTGCTTCGCTTTTAACTAGTCCCTCAGTGTTTTTCATACAAAGACATTTGCTCTAGCGTAAGCTTTAACGGCCGTGTGAATAGACCCTAATCTCCCAAGCGATTAAGTTTTCAAGCGACCGAAGCGGTTCGTGTTGTCCCCACTTCCAGGTAATATGTTATTAAAGCATGTTTATTTGACTAACACCTAATCGATTATCTGGGATATTTTTTTAAATACCTACTATAACATTATCTGTGGAAGCATTCCCGATGCATGAAGACGATACAATGGATACTCGGACTGATGCAACAAGCGCACACACACCACACCTAACTATTCGTAACTGTATAACATACAAAAAGGCCACATCACATCATTCAGTCACAAAGCGCGAATTTATTACTAAACACGATATAATGAACTTTACAAACTCGATGATAATGAATCAATAATTATCGATATTTGTTGAACAGCCCTGTGGCGAGACTCGCGCCGACACCCTACAGTCTCGCCGACGCTTCCATTGCCGCAGCCGACACGACACCGCCTCGAGAAAGCCGCCTTCTCTAAACTATTAACTTCTCTTCACTAAGAGTATTCTACGTTGTCGCCAATATTGTGTCTCGACAGCACGACGGGACTACGAGAGGAACTGTTTCGTGCATTTCAAAAAAGGTTACGTTACAATTTTGACCTTAAGTTTTTCGAATAACAATTTATAAATTCTCATAGAATATTTATTTACATAATTAATTTAATAATATTTATCATCGATACGAGTACACGAGTATAATAGAGATTATATTACGAGTATTTTTCCGTCTTGAATAATATCGATTAGTGTTCTCCTTTGAGCAATACAATACATACCAAAAATATTATTTTCCCGAACTGCCCGAAGCAGTGATATGGTAGGATATCACAATATTTCGTGTACTTAGCACTGAGCGATAGAGAGCGCTCTAAGATAATTAGGGGAACGAATAAACAAAAAGTTACAGTATGGATATTGTTCAGTGCTGGGCTTAGGATGTGTGATTTGGTTGGGCGCATGCAGTTAGTGATTACAGAGAGTGACGCACCAGCACCTTGACGCCCTATATTGTTCCGTCTTGTTGGAGAGCTAGAGGATAGACTGAGGATGAAGGCCATGCAGTTAGACATGAATAGGCGTTAAGCTTCCCACATCCGACGGTCGTTTGGGGACATAAAAGAGCTACCACAAACCGATTGAGGAGAGGTGAAGGGGACAGGAGGCATGCCGTTAGTTACAAGAGATACGTTAAAAGCTTGCGGCATCGATTGTTTTAAAGGCTGCGAGGAGCTATACGGTCTTCAAAGTCTTTAAAACTCTTAAAAATATCCCCTTTGGAACACCAGTCTATGTTTAAAATATACCACTAAATGACTTATTTAGTGGCCAAGATCAGGACTATCAAAGGAATCTACATAAATGTTCTAATATTGGTAATTTTGCTACGATATTATACACGTAGACAATGGTTAAACATCGACAAGTACTAAAACTCTATCTTACAAACGGTATCCCTAACTACGCTTCAATTCCACATTGAAATTATCTAAAAAACAATTAAGACGTCTTTCCCTCAGCGGTGATGATATATTTGTATATTATAAGTAAAAGAGATTTATGTCCTTAAATTAAATAATTTATCTATACGTATCACGTCCAATTGCATGAAATGTTTACCGTTAACGATTTTAACGTCATCGTTCTCAGTAAATATTCCCACAATCTGTGTTTCCCTTATAACAATTTATATACAGTCCCAAGACAAAGAGTCATGCCTTAAAACGTAAGACTAGATTTTACTAAAGAAATAGATGTGATTATATTTCTGTGATCTCGTTCTGTTATCTAAAAGACTTCTATGAATAACGTTGAAAAATCGTTACACAAAAAATACTGATAAGTTCCAAATAAAAATATAAAATACATACAAAAAACATGTCAATTTCCGGAGTTTCTTTGATTCGCCACGAAACACAGAAGTCAAATAATGAAAGCGATAATTGTGAATATATAACAATAAACTGGGTAACATTGAAATGGAAAGAAAAAAACAGTATAGTGCGGAAAAACTAAATACAGACTATATACAACACCATTGACCAGCAGTTTTTTATATCACATCAGTTGGCAACCCTAATGAAGTCCCGTTATATTGCACATCGTTCACATTCAAGTCACACGATATCACGCACTTTACAATGTTCAGTGAAGGGGTTGACTCTGAGTACCTGCGCGTGCTACAGCTGGGCCGCGGGGGGGCGCGGAGGGGCGCGGAGGGGCGCGTGGGGGCACGGGTGGGCGCCAGTCGCGCTAGGGCTGCCGGTATCAGAAGTCGTCGGGCAACACGGCGTCGCGAGGCACGAGGCCCTTGTGGTCGCCGCGGCAGCACAGCAGGTACTGGTCGTCCACCTCCAGCACCAGCCGCAGCCGCTCGCCCTCCTTGAACGCCAGGTGGCCCGAGTCCGACGGCAGCCGGTGCCACAGCGTTCTCACGTACCTGCAAACGAGTTATTCAAACCTTTGTATGTCTTAATTCCTATGATGCCGTATGTTTCATACAGTGGACAAAACGCAAACATAGAGAAGCAATCTTATTAATATTATAAATGTTTAGATGTGTAGATGATTGTCAGAGTTTTTAGCATAATCGGCTGAACGGATCTATAGATGAAATTTGGCTTAGATGATGCATAGTCTGGAAGAACACATAGACTACTTACTTCTTTTATAATAGCTCGCGGACGGAGTCGCGGGAGAAAGCTAGATAGGTGTAAAGGAACAAATAATCTTGGGTTTTGTTTCAATAAAAATGGACAACTAGAAGTGACACTGCATGAGTGTTGTAACTGACTTGTGTTTGGGGGCGGCGTGTGCGGCGTGTGCACGCGCGGCGGAGGAGGAGGCGGCGCGGCGCGGCGCGGCGGGGG